CATTGTTCTTTGTGTGGAAAAGTACAAATTGATGTCTGTAGGATCTTTTAGAAATTTTTAATGTCAGGAAACTGAAGAAATTTATAGTTTCCCTCTCCAGAATTCGAATCTTCTGACCTGAAGACATGTCAAACTTGCTTCAAGTTACACTATGAAGGCATGTAGAAAGGTGGTGCCAGATCCTGGTAGAGACGAATTTTCATTCACCACCTTTTAGTTCGGGCACCACTTTAGAAATTTTCAGTGTCGGAAAACTGAAATCTGCAATTGCCCTCCCCAAGATTTAAACTTCAGAGCTTCCGAATATGCGTTGAGCATGCTTCCATTTACACTGTGAAAGCATGTGGTAAAGGAGAGAGAAAATGCCCTATACATTTATTAGAAAATTTCAAAGTCATTCATTTTAAGAAAAGCAATCCTAATTTACTTTGCTTTAATTAATCCTGATTTGCTTTAATTAAGTACCTAAATTAACACAACTGTAAGAATATTTTTTTCTGAGATATACCTAATAAATTCAGCAAGTTCCATAATCTGAATTCTTATGATGTCATTAAGCTGACTATAAATTTCATTTTTCTATATTGTCATCATTGACAAATAAGATATTGTAGTTCCAAGCATTTGTTTATAGTTTCTTTTTTATCCATTTTTGTTGATAGTTAAAAGAGTATTTGCATGCTGAATGTTATTTTCTGTGCTATCTTCGGTAGCACTCTGAATGTTCAGGTGTTGTCGGTTGCTTTTTAAAGCAATAACTTCTAGCGGTAATGTTTATACTATTTTGATGGCTGGAACATTCATCAAAATTGATTACATTCGAATCCGATTAATTAGACCACCGGATAATCGGACCAGCCGCATTTTTTAACCAAATCCTAAAGAACCGAAACAAATCCTATGAACATAAGCCTAATATTATTCATTTATTTGGACCAAAATTCCATTTAATAAGACAAAAAAAAGTGAGAGCAAATAAGGAACAAAAGCCACAAGTCGGCCACATACAGCGGATGTACAGGTGGTCTGCGACATATGGGAGGATCTATAGTTGCTGCTCCCCAGGAAAATGCTTTATCAAAGGTCAGAAATTCCTTAAAGTACATGACAAAAGCAAAACTGGTTGGAGGTGAACATGCGCACCATTTTCTTTGGCCTTTCTTTGACCTGCGCCTCCGAGTTTGAGGAAATGAATAATAGAGTGTCCGGCTCCACCTGGAAGGAATTCCCACCTGTCAATCATGATCAAAGTTTGCACAAGAAAGCTATCATTTCATCACCTTTTTGGGGTGATTTTAGTGCCAAAGCTTTGAATGGCTAGCTTTTTATCTCCCTCTTGACCTCAACATCTTGAACCCGAAACACCAAGGTTTCTTCAGACCACTTTAGTCAGTGAACTGTGCGTGTGTCTTGTCTCCCCTGCCAAAATGCCACAACGTGGCATTAGCTGAAAAAATTGGTTCCTGGATAAGATCAAGCAACAACCACAAGACACTAGTCAGCGTTGGATGGTGAAAATAACTGGATTGGCAAAGACTACAATTTCGCTCTTGATAAAACAAGAAAATGAGCTGCGAGACGAATGGGCACAGTGGGAAGGACGAGAAGGAACTTCCAAAAAACGGAAGCGTAAAGGCAAGGACCCAGATGTCAATGAAGCCCTTAATGAATGGTTTGCCAATTTTATTGGACAGTCTGTGAGTAAGTGGCCCAATGTTAAAATGAAAGCAGAACAACTTGCTAAATAGCTGGGCCACGATGACTTTAAAGCTATGGACGGTTGGTTGTCTCGATGGAAATCTGGACATGACGTAAAATTCAAGAAAGTGCTGATAATGCAAATGCTGAAGAATGGAAATCAGCAAAACTACCCGAGCTTCTTGAAAATTTTTCAGCAGATGACATCTACAATGCTAATGAGATTGGGCTGTATTATCGTTCTACACCGGATGGCTCGTTAAGTTACAAATATGTTGCACTCTTCGGCTCCAAAAAAGCTATGGATCGCATAACTGTCTTGTGTTGCTCAAACATGTCAGGAACAGACAAGAGGAAGCTGTTGGTTATAGGAAAAAGCACTAAGCCTCGCAGCTTTAAAGGACTTAGGATGGAGAGTTTACCAGTTGTGTATCGTGCAAATAGAAATGCGTGGATGACCTCTGAACTTTTTAAAGAATGGCTGAAGGATTGAGACAGAGAGCTACAATGCCAGTGGAGAAAAGTGCTGTTTTTTCTTGACAGTTGTGACGCTCATCCTCATTTAGATTGCTTGATGAAATCTAAATGAGGACTGGAATTTCTATTTCCCAGGACCACAGCTTTGGTCCAGCCAATGGACATGGGCATCATAAAAAATTTGAAGACCCTTTATTGTGCAAGGTTGGTTAATTACATCCTTGAAGCAATTGCAGAAAATTTGCTGACCTTATCAGGGAAAGCCAGCGAAGTCAGTGCAAAGGTCAACATCTTACAAGCAGTTACATTTGTGGCCGACAGCTGGCGAAAAGTGAGCAGTGAGACAATTCAGAACTGTTTTTCTCACTGTGACTTTAAGCACTTAGTTTTGGAGATGGATGTGGACATGCTCACTGAAAGTAAAAATGATGATTTACGTGTGGAACTTCAACAGGTACAAAATTGCGAAGAATTTCTATCCGTTGACCACAAGCTTCAATGCTACAATGAAAACGAAGAATACGACGATGCAATCGTTGCTCGAATTGCAGAAAAACACATGACAGCATCAGAAGACCAAGAAAGTGATGATGATTGATGCCGCTAATAAGTTGGTGCAAGTGAGAACACAGGATGCAAGGAAATGCACTGAAACTTTGCGTCAGTATTTCATGCAGGAGGGAAATGAAGGCAGTCCCATTGCTGCGTTAGATGTTTGTGACGATTTCATTAACGTGCGCAGTCCTTCAAGAGAACGTGTCAGATCACATTGGATAAATTTTTCAAATGCTGACTGGAACTTGGTAAGAAATTGTTTTTATTGTGCTTTGCATGTTGAGTATCGTGGAGATTGTTTCTTAGAATTCATTTCTAAATTAATTTTCTCAATGAAAAAACATTCGACTGTATTTCTTGTTTGTACATGTATGTTCGCCATATGTGTGTACTGCACCATAAAGTTCATAATTACATTTTAGTACATGATTTACGTGTACATTTATTGTTTACTACATAAACATATAGTTTATTGTTACATTTACTGTTTACTACCCTGTCTTACAACATAGGGTATGGTTGTGTAATCGGACCAGCCGGTTAATAGGATTGAAACGATCGCTTCCCGATGTGGTCCGATTAAGTGGAATTGACTGTATAAATCTTTGTTTTAAGAAATTTAATAGATTAAGACATTTTGAACAATACCATTAATTAACTGTGGGAGGCTTTACTTCACTCAAGGACTTTAACATCTAACTGGTCGAGAATACATGCTGTGCCAAACTTCCAAATGTTTTGGCTTGGCATATTTGACTTACCTGATCATACCTTTTTAGATTTGAACTGATTGTATCTTAGCAATATCCAACAAATAATGGCTTGACCATTAGCAGGTCTGTATTAATTGGTTGTAAAAATAATGTGCAGAAGTATTTGAAACCTTACAGATTAGTGATTAATAATCTAAATATCAGGCATTTTTATCATTAAATATTAAAATTCATGCATTTTTGCATTTAAAATCAATACATTCAATATTAAACTAGAACAGAAGAAGATAACATTCAATATTAAACTTTTTCATTGAAGAGGTGACTCTTGGTCTTTTCTTGATTTGATGTGGTAACTCGAGAGCAGAGCCTCGATCTCCACTTATTTTGATGACTTACTGTGTATATAGGTTGTTACTTGATGATAGAGATGGAGAAATAAGTGATAAGGATAGCAGTGAGGAAGAGATGTAAAAAGGTGAAAAATCAGAGTAATAGATAGTGAATGTAAAAATGACAATAATTATATAGAACTGAAAATTCAGAATCCAAAGAAATACCACAAAGAATACCGTTTTTATCTGAGAAAAGAGCCACAGGATCATAAGTATCTTCTGATACAAAAGAACGATTTGATTTCTTTAAATTGCATGTGAAGTTCACCAAATATGTTATCTGTAAGAAATTCACCAAATATGCAGAAAATCGTCTTGAGGCTCAAAAATCGTCTCAGGTTTGCCCAAGCAAGAAAGACCTCAAGTGTAAAGAATTAAGCCGCATGTATTAAGTAAATAATCCCTAAGTAGTAGTGTCTGCAAATGATAAAAAATATTTTTTCCCCATGACATTATTGAAATGTTTAAAAATTTGACAAATTGGCTGCTGTTATTAGAGTTTATTTTATTGGAAGCTGATGAATTTTGATATTCTTGGAGCCATATTGTTTCTCAGAGTTTTCAATTTGCAGTTTCTCAAATGTTCTGTTTGTATATTTTCTGAAGAAGACAATAAGCTGCACACTGAAAACTGAGACAGAGATAATTTTTCATCTCTTTCCATGGCTTAGTACTGCTCTATCCTGAGTCTGATCGGTCCTTTAGGATCATGTCTCCGTGTTGTCAATTTTGTGAACTTTAGTTTTATACATGTTTGTCCACTCTATTTCATTCCTTATAAAATGCTTTTATTGCCACTGTGGTACACACACACACACAAAAAAAAAAAAAAAAAAAGTCGTCATTAGGCACTGAATGAAACTTAAGGAGAGTTCTTGTCTTTCTTAAGGAAATTTCTGGCTTAAAGGCCTGTAGTTCTTGATATTTTGATTTTGATCCTATTCCTACCTTTTTTAATTTTATTTCATTTCTGTTGTTCAAGCGGGGAAGGGGGGTCCAGATAAATTTTTGCTACCTGAAGAAGGCAATAATAGTTTTATCAGAAAACATTTGGGTTTTCACCTTTGGGAGATTTTTTACTTTACACTTCTGCTTCTTGCAACTCTTACTATATATGTTGGAAATTAAATTATGTAAATTTGCATAATTTCTCTTTGACTAGGTTCGTTCAGGAACACAGACTGTTGCAGTTGCTACTCAGACTGTTGTTTCCAGTGCCGCTACAGTCAACTCAAATGCTACACCCATCCGCACACAAGTAAATATCCTATTCTACTGTATTCATAAAGAGGCAAAAATAGAATTTAGTCATTTCATTCTTAATGCTCTCTACTAGTTACGTCAGTTTAAATTATGCTTTTAAAGCATTTTTTAATAAAATAAAAGTGTGAATATGAGCGTAGGTAATTCTGTTTACGTAATGTATCTAAAGTAGTCACTTCATTTAAATTTCAAATTTGTTCAGAGTTTTTTAAAATTAATTTTGATTTCTTTCTTCCTGAAATATGTTATAATTTTATCATTAATGCCAAATGATTGGTTTGTAAAAAAAAATGGCAGCTAAGAGAATAATAAGGATTGACATCTTCATAATTTTTAAATAATTTTCTTTTCCATAAAGTAATTTTGTTGTTAGTTTTAATAATATCATGCTAGCAGAGTTTATGAAAAATAAAAAAAAATACTTAGTGTGTTATTATTACCACTCAATAAATATATTGCTAGTTTCTTTTCTGAATTGAATCATACTAATCAGATTTCATTAAAAATTTTTAATAATGTGTATCAATATTTAAAACATGTATAAAAAATTGAAGAGAAATTTAATTTAATTATTTATGCTAGATTCCTAGTAGAATTAAATAATAAAATGTTGAATTCTTTAAGCAGGATGCTGAATTTTGCAGTTCTCTACTGCTGGTTAGTCAGTTATGTAGATATTTTATAAAAAGAACTGTCTTTCCTAAGCAGTGTTTTGGGGCATGCAAAACCATAATTGATTTGTATCATCAATTAAATTCTTGTGCACTTTTTATATCTAATTATGAAGTTTTTTGTTATTTTACTTGAATATGTTCTTAATTAGAAGAATGTAACTTCTTTCTTTTATTTAATTTTCTTTGAATGATTTTATTTTAAAAGTGAGGGTTCTAATGTTCTTTCATGAATACTAGGGAAGCATAGTCACTTGCTGTCTTGTTAATTTATTAATATTGAAATTTTGTTTATAAACTAACATTTCATTCACAAGTGAAAATTGAGTGATCAGTCAAAGATTACAGTCATTTATTAACACTAACAAAAGTTTTGGTATTGCATTAAATCTCATAACTGATTCAGAGAAAAGTACTACCTCTTCTTGTTATTTTTAGTAAAATCTTCATGTACAGCGTGTCCCGTAAATATTGGTACAAATTAAGAGTAGATAGGGTACGTCAAAAGGATTGAAAATTGCATAGCAACACATCACCGGAAAATGTATCAGAGGTAAGGCCTGACTAAGCAGTTGCTGCCCAAACATCGTGAACAGCACCACCTAATGACATACGCAGTCTTGCCTTGTTATGCAATTCTCAATCCTTTTCACATGCTCTACCTGGCATTTAAGTTTGTTCCAGTATTTCTGGGACACACCCATGTACATCTGATGATACTTTCTGAAATAAATCATCAGAGAAAGAGTATGATCTTTTGTCAGCTTTAGAAGAAACATTATAAAAAAAATTGACTTTTATTTAATGATTTGGAAATAAGTAAAACAAGACGTATAACATTATTTAGAAATATCTTTACGGAATATATAATCATTTTGGTTCTTAGTGTAGCACATTTTATCAAGTTTGAGAATTAGTGGAGTGAATATATATATATTTAAGGAAATCATCTTCAGTTTTTTTTTATGCAGCTTCAATAAAGATGAACTATACTTGAATAAGTAAATTGAGTATTTGAGGGAATAGTTTGAACTCATGTGTAAGCAAGTTCCAGGATTTGAAAAATGTCCAAATTTAAAGCTACTTCTAATAATCATAATGTTTTTAATCTAATGTTATTGATAATGAGAAAAAAATAAGAACAGATTTATTACACAGCTATTTGGTAAAGATATTAATATTTTTTATATTTATCTACATGAAGTAAGCAAATTTTATTCATAGAATAATTTCCAAAACATCACTTCGGATAATTAGAGATATGTCTTCTTTTTTAAAGGGTGGCAAATTTATCAATAAAGGAGCCGATAAATGGAACTTTGGTTGGTTCTGTAGAAGAATTCATTTGCTGTGTGCATTCCTTGAAGTTTTATATTGACTAAAACAACTGAAAATTTAGATATTATGTTAATTTTTGAGTGAATAAAATCCAAAAATTAAACTTTTTGGATCACAAATCAAGTTTTCAGATTTTTTTTTTTTTTTTTTTTTTTTTTTTTTGTCTAAAATATGAATAACTCCTTAAATAGTAAATAAATAAATGAATAAAAATAAGAAGTTAAGCTTTTAATGTTAAACTTGTAACCCTCAAAATATGTAACATGGATTGTCTGTTTCAGTTCATAAATGATTGTGATGCGTTTCAAGATTATTAATTATAATTTTCTGATCTGGTATTTGCTTTTTATTTTCATATTAATAAACATTTTATCTTTCTAATTAAGAGTAAAGATGCATCTTGGTGTAGATACGTATTTTTTAATTATATAACTCAACGGTGTATTTTTAGAACTATACATTTTCATATCGCTTTGAGCTCTGATTGATAGTTCTAAGAACAAAGTTTCATATTTCTTTGAGTGTATTTTATTTTCCTCATCTTCTAACTTGAATTATTTTTTAGATCAGGCCAAAAAGTAAACTTCCGACTGGTTCCTCTCCAGGAGCAAGTCCTTCTCCACTTGCTCCACAGATGGCTACAACACAGACTCAGACAAGCCAGTCACATTCACAGCCTCAGCACCAGCCAACTCCCCAACAAAAATCTGATGCAGCTAATCAGACTCACTCAAATCAAGTAAAACCTGTTGTGCCTGTTGCTTCTGAAACAAAATCCACAGCCACGCAAAGTAAATCAATAGCTATTGAAACCAAACCACTACCTCCATCATTACCTGTGAAATCACATGCAATGGTGGCACCATCAACTAAAATTGTGCAAACAACTGTTTCATCCACTATTGGAATTTCTACGATAACTTCGTCCTCATCGACAACACCAGTGTCATGTGCACCTGTGACTACGACTGCCACAACAGCTAATGCCAGCACTTCTGTTTCAGCTGCTGTGAATACTTCTCCTGTCCTGCCATACACTCCACCTGCTTCTACTAACATAGCGCCAGAAGACGTTTGTCCTGCAGATGATGACACAAAACCAGTATCTGCACCTGAAGAATCTGTTGAACCTGTTGCTCAACAAACTGAACCTATTGAATTGATTGAAAGTGAACCTTTGAAACCACAGCAACCTATTACAAAACTGCCTCTTGGCAATGTGAAGGAAAAACTGCAGAAAGCTATAGTGAAACCTCAAGTGTTAACCCATGTTATAGATGGATTTGTAATACAAGAAGGCCCAGAGCCTTTCCCGGTTAGTAATATCACAGTCTATTAAATGTTTTCTTTCTTTAATTATTTAATGCATACTTAGCTATTTTCTTGATCCTTTATTAACTGGATCTTCTTACAGTGAATATGAATTGATAGTAATATGTTTTGCTACTTTATTCTAATATTCTTTTTCTTTAGGCATTTTGCAAGTATATTAAAAAGCATACAACTTTTTTAAACATCTTTGTATTTCTGACATTAATTTTAAATAAATTTATTGTTTTCCATTTCAAAAGAGCCCACAAATGGCTGAGCGGTAAAGTCTCTGAATACTGGTAGTCTGCTCCGGGTTTCGAATCCCGGTGAACGGGCTGGTTGCATGGGTATTTTTGTGGTTTTTCTCATGTGTAACATGTATATGAACTGGTTTCATGTAGAAAGTTCTTTACACAGGCATCCCTCCTTTAAGGCAGGTAGGCCGGCTTTGCTGTAACTTGATAATCCAAATCGATCCATTTCATCAGTATTTGGTCAGAGCTTTATCAGCTTATTTTATTATTATCTTCTTTACAGGCTAAGCATTGTGAAGGCATGAGATTAAAGGATAGTCTGGTTTCATCAAGAGAGAAAACGTCTTTAGCTGATATCTATATACGTCATTGGATAAATTCCGGAATCTTTAAATAATTCGACTGAGAAATCATGGGGTGCTCCGTTTATGATACAATATGATGTTCTATGAAGTAATTTAAATTCATGCAACCATACAGTTGAAAACCAGTCGCTCTTCACTTTAATCTGCAATGATATCATTTTTCTCTTTTTTGTTAGCATAAACATAATATCTACTATTTGCTGGTGTACATGTCCAAGTGTTTTCTTTTTGAACACCCAACTTTCTTGAAGTTGATTACCCTTTAAATTTTTGCTTCCCTTCCCGATTTCCATCTTTCCTTCTACATTTGTTTTTAGTGCTTACACAAGAAAATTAAGATTTTTTGATTGTTACACTTCCATAAATTTCGCATTCTTGAAAAAATTTTTAAAATATCAATTCCATCAAATGCGCTTCAGATAAAGACAGCTTTTCATTTTCTAGACATTTTAACTATAAATAAAGTTCAAAGGATAAATATTTGAATTAAAAGATTTTTGTTTAATGAGGAAGAAACAAACCCTCCAGCAGCCTTTATCCTGTATCACCGAGTGACACGATTCTTATTCTACAACACGAGAGAAAATTACTACTTAAAAGATTCTTTCTAAGAGGATTAATGTAAAAATTTATATTTATATGTATATTTTTAAAGCTGGGACATGACCCAAACTGCCAACATCCTGTTTGCTTAAAAACATTATGAAATTAAACATCAAACAAACTTTTTCAGCTTAGAAATTTTAGAAAAACTTTAAAATCTGGATAATATCATCCATAATTTAAAAAAAATAGCTTTTCATATAGTATTAATAAATATTTATTATACATCATTGAGGGTAAATATTTCATATGATTAATTCTCCATAAAACTATTTGAAATTTAAGGTTAAAAATAGCTGTGGCAATTCACTTTAAAAAAATTTATAACCACATTTGGCGTTATTATCACTCGAAAAAAAGATGTCAAATTTCAAAATGTGCAAATATGTAAATTCATGTATATCTTAGAAAATTTTGAATAAAAAAGTCTAATTGTTTGCAGGTATGCTTAGAAATACACCTACTTTAAGATGATGGTAAAACTTTATAGGTTATAATTCAAAATGTTTTTTGAAAAATATATGAAAATTATTTTAAAAACAAATCATAAAAAATGAGTGAATTTTATTTGGAATGAACCTCTAAATTTTGAAATGTGAAAGGAAGTCTAATTGTTTGCAGGTATGCTTAGAAATACACCTACTTTAAGATGATGGTAAAACTTTATAGGTTATAATTCAAAATGTTTTTTGAAAAATATATGAAAATTATTTTAAAAACAAATCATAAAAAATGAGTGAGTTTTATTTGGAATGAACCTCTAAATTTTGAAATGTGAAAGGAAGAATAAAAAAAATTCAATAAAAAATGAGATATTAATAAATATGTACCAAATTCAATGAACATTGAGGAGCTAAAATTTTGAGAGCTAATTTTTTAAAAACTACTCTTGCGATTTTTACCTGGCATAATTTGAGTCATAGATTCGAAATATGGAAAAAAATGGCATGTCACTTCAGAAAAGTCTGATTTTGTGTCAAAATACTTGTGTTAGAATAATGCTATATATAAATCTAATATATATTCTAAGTTGCGCGTTTGAGACATGAAAAACGCAATTTGAATTTCATCAATTGTCCCAGTAGAACGGGGAATGTAGAACTGTCCCCCCTTTTTTTGCACAGTGTACATACTTAAACTCATTAGATTAATTATTATGGGAGGAAAAAATAGTTAGGCAGTGCTCCTTTATCTTAGTATAAATTGTAAAAAAAATTGTATGATAATAAATATTTTCAGATGTAATTTTTGAAGTGGATATCTTTTGTGGGGGATATTCTACTGTTATTAAAACAACTTGTTATTAGTAAATCTAATATATATTCTAAGTTGCGCGTTTGAGACATGAAAAACGCAATTTGAATTTCGTCAATTGTCTCAGTAGAACGGGGAATGTAGAACTGTTAGAACTGTCCCCCCTTTTTTTGTGCAGTGTACATACTTAAACTCATTAGATTAATTATTATGGGAGGAAAAAATAGTTAGGCAGTACTCCTTTATCTTAGTGTAAATTGTAAAAAAAAATTTTATGATAATAGATATTTTCAGATGTAATTTTTGAAGTGGATATCTTTTGTGGGGGATATTCTACTGTTATTAAAACAACTTGTTATTAGTTAATATTTGTTGCACAATAGCTTACAACCTCATAATTGCATTAATTAGAACAAAATTTATCTTCCAAGAGTAATTATTTCAGCACTGTTGTGTATGAAATAAGGATATGTTTTATTTGGTTTTATTGTCAGTTTAATAATAAAAAGAATTTGTAAGCAGAAGCTGTAGGTAATGATGATGTTTATTTTCTCTTTGCTCAAGAGGAATGGTTTTAAGTGATGTGAATGTTATATATAATTTCACCCTCAAGTTTTTGGCTTTTCTTCTTTCTTTTCTTTACTCCCCCCCCCTTTTTTTAAAGAAATACATTTTTTTAAATATTTTTATTCACTTTAAAATTCTCTATAGTTACACAGAATCTAGATTAAATTAGCAAGACCAAGGCTGTGCATTTTCTTTGTAGGGTAAAAAATATTTCTAGATTTTTAACTTTTGCAGTCGTATTTAATTTGTGCATAGGTATCATGCTGGTTGGAATTAATTTTCATTGAACAGAGAGTAGTACATAATATGCAATATGGTGAAGCGTGACGACTTAATATCAAGATTAGTGTGGTTCTTTGCTGTGGTGGCTGAGAGCAGACATATGACTGGGACAGTAAAAACACTTTGATGTCTGAAAGTGAGACATACAACTGCAGAGGGTTAATTGATACAGTACAAAGTCTGTAATCCGGACTCGTCAGGACTTCGGCGATTCTGGATTAGTGGTTTTTCTGGATTATAGATCATCTGTTTAAATCTTCTAAGATGCCATGCAGAAATTATACAATTAAAAATATGAAACTCTAATTTCTGAAATAAAGAGCAATTATGATCTAAAGGGTATCAAAAATTGCAAAAAAAAAAAAGCTTAATATTTATTTGTTTACTTTATTAAACATTTCTTTCAATGTAAGTTGTTTAAGTTGCTTCGTTTTTTGTGCTGATACTTTCTCTTTAATTCTATAAACAGACGTAATTTCTTGTTCAGTTACAAAGTTCCACTGTTCAAGTCCTGTAATTGCTGTGTCGAGAATACCGACTAACTTGTCAATCGAAATTTGTTCGTTTTCAATAAACTCGCTGTCACTTATCTATCTCTTCACTATCGGAAGCGCGCATGGGTAAACGCTTTACGCACATGTGTAGCGGACGCTCGCATTAAATGTGCATGCATAAGTTTGTGGCTTTGAGGTCTGGATTATAGATAATTCTGGATAATGGACGTCCAGATTACGGACTTTGTACTGTATATTCTAAAGTGTGCTGTCTTAAGTTTTGATGAAACTTTGAATTGATAGTGTCCCCTTTTTATGTTTTATATTATTCCATTGTGAGCTATTAATGCCATTAATTAATTTGATTGCTAAGTTAGTTTTACACTTAATTTTATTTACATACACTGGTTATCATAAATTAAGGGAAAATCACAAAAATAGCGATAACTCCCTCAAAAATAAGCCAAACCGTGTAAAATTTGAATATGTTGCCAAGTAAGAGTAGCTGAATAAAACTACAATATGCAAATTAGTGGTGTTGCACTCGGAATACGTCATCTGCGAGGAGAATAAAAGTCTGTGTTTGAGAGCAAGCCCACATATTTCACTGCGATAGTGACATCAGAAATCTGAGATAGCCAATTCGTAACAATGACCTCCAGGCATCATTTGCCTGCAGAAGTACGATGAAGAGCTATTGGGAGACTAGAGGCAGGATAAAGTCAAACAGAAGTGGCCAGATGGCTAAATGTGAGTCCTTTTGTGGTTCATAGACTTTGGAGGCGATTTCAAACCACAGATTCGGCATCTAGGAGGTTCAGCCAAGGACGGCCAACTGCTACGATGAGCGCTGATGACCGATAGTTGACATTATGTGCACGCAGGAATAGAACCACTATTCCGACTCTTCTTAGATCCTCCTTTGCTGTAGCCACCTGAAGGTTGATATCAATGTTAACTGTGTGTAGAAGGCTTCAAGAAGGTGGTCTGTATGCGAGGCGACTAGCCATTTGCATGCCGCTCACGTCACACCATAGGAGGGACCGTTTGCAGTTGGCATGACCGTTTGCAATAGGCGCGACAACATGTCTACTGGACGCCTGATCAGTGGAGGGCTGTTCTCTTTACGGATGAGTCCAGGTTTAGTCTAGAAAGCGATAGTAGGCGTTATTTGATATGGAGAGAACCCGGAACCCATTATCATCCGTCAAGCATCTGTTAAAGATATGCATGCGGAAGAGGCAGTGTCTGTGTTTGGGGTGGCATCTCTTTGGGTAGACGCACAGACCTCCATGTCTTTCCAACAGAAATCGCGAATGCTCCGGTTTATAGAGATGACATCCTTGATGTTTATGTGCACCCATGTGCCGGGGCAATAGGTGATGCTTTCCTGTTACAGGGAGATAATGCAAGACCACACAGAGCTCACATCATACATGATTATCTTCAACAGGAAACAATTATGCACATGGAGTGGCCAGCTCGATCCCCGGACATGAATCCTATCGAGCACGTTTGAGATGCTTTAGAGAGACGTCTAACTGCTGTCAATCCACCCCCTCAGACCCTTGCCACACTTGCAACTGCTTTGCAAGAGCAATGGCTCTCGCTTCCTATGGAACTGATAGACCGCATAATTAAGAGCATCACGCATCGCTGTATGTGCTATATTGCTTCTAGAGGCAACCATATTCCATATTGAAGGTACTTTTCTATAGCAAACTGACACCTTCAATTTTTTCATTTTATACAGGTGCTAATTTCTATACTACCATAATTGTCTGGTAATTTATTTTTATGTTATTTGATACCTTACTATGTGTTTGTGGGTAAGTTTCATAAAATTCTACATGTAACTTTTTCAGTATTCGCGATTTTTGTGATTTTTCCTTAATTTATGATAACCAGTGTAGTTGGGCATTTGAATTAAATTAACCATTAATGGTTATGAAAATTGCATGCAATTGCTATAATTGAAACCTTTGAGCTTATGAGTAAAATTATTCCTTTTAAACTATTTCATCATTGAAGAATTTTAAATTAAAATTATCTTAAAATAAATTTATTTTACTTAAAATAATTTAAAATTTTAGTATAGTGATTTTATTAAAAAATAATGAAGATACCAAGACACATAACATTACTAAAAGTGAGTTAAAATGGGTTGTTTAGGTACCAGGACTCATACCATGCTTAAAGGTTAACTTTTTTTAACGCTTTCTCTTACAAATTTTTTTGAAAAAAAATTGCAAAAAATCATCACACTTTTAAATTTTATTATTAAATACAACAAAACAAAACAATCGAAATAGTAGGTTTTAAGTTGAATTTTAATTTTTTAAAGGTGGTAAAAGCATTTATTTTTAATATTAGTTACTATCCGAGTTATCTCGGGCAAACGAAAATAGTTAAATATTAATCTTTGTATGATTGTTTTTGAAACAAGTTACAACATAGAGTGATACCTGACATTCTACACTGGTATCTGGTCTCTTTTCTTACTGGCTTACCGCTGGAATCTCTTTCACGGGAGCACAGAGTACACTGTCTCGTTGGATTTGATTCCCCCCCCTTCATAATCACTATCTGAAAAATCATCGCTTTCGCTATCTTGCATCATCGACATTATTTTATTTTTTTCCCAACGCATGCATCCTGTTTTATACATTACTAATCCACAAGCCAACGTATACTATACAATTGGGAAACACGTGACCAGTCCCTCCAAAAGAACCACGTAACCAACAAAATTTGGCAAACTGCCAATCAAAGCTGAATATTTCCTTTCATTTCCTCCAGACCGAGTAAAACCGTGATAAAAGAAATCGGACTAACAAATTCTGCTTCGTCTGAGTTTTCTCGGGATAATAATTAACTGCAATATATATGAACCTGAGATAATTCGGGATAATCAGGCAAGCAGTTAACATGAAAACATGACTGAATTTAAACTTAATTCTTAAGTAATTTTTTCCTTTGATGTATAACATTTCCAAGCATTGGTACTTGCATATTAACGCAACCACCTTAGTAGAAGTCACCAAATTATCAGTATGTGCCAAACTCTATGGCAACTATGTGCATAAACAATCTTTCGGCAATCTTCCTATGACAACCCTTCAGTCAAGCTATGTCGCCATTTTCATATGTATTCTTCTTTGTAGCATTCCATGTTCCAACTGTTTTTATAAACAAATCATGATATTTTTTGCCTTAGTTTTAAAATATGAGCTTGTGAAATTTACCAGCAGTAGAAGAAATTGCAGTAAAATTTCTGCAAGAATACAGAATTTTGCTGAAAATTTTCTAAAGGGAACTATGAGTAAATGCATTTCCTCGATACCCCTCTGTTGCTAACGATTTTCACAAAGTGTCTGCAATTCTTTGATGTTTTTTAAGTAAAAACAGATTGCTGTGTACTTCGGAAAAAGGCTAGCACAAAAAGAAATTGTAGAAAGATGTGAAGGAGAACATGTTTTATTTTTTATAATTATTAATAAATCAACTTCTAAAGCATATTTTGTTTTCATATGTTGATAATGTTTATCAACTTACAATAAATATTGATAGCTTAGGAATCTTTCTGAAAAGAAAAAGGGCACAAAAATATTGGTAGTCAAATATAACAATATTCATTAAAATAAGTATTTGTAATTTTTATTCTGAAAAATTATATGAATTGTTTGAACACTATATGAAGTAGTGTGTATTGTATAGTAAGTTCTTAAAATTCTTAATTCTGGTTAAAGAAATATATGTATAATTTTTTTTGGGGGGGGTCGTTGTGACCAGATGAAGTGAGGATGCTATATAAGCATGGCAGTAGTTAACTAAGAAATGCTATCAGTATTTTTTCATGTTTTGAGTTACAATGTTATGAAAATTCTAGAAAGCCTGGTGGTCATACATATATTTTTTATTGACTTGGTTATTGACTTTATTGACTTGATTATTTTGTTATAATTTGGTTATATTTCTATTTGCTCTCTCTATTTTGATATCAATAAAAAAAACCATAATGGTCATAATATAAAATAACACTGCATTTTTTAAGATGTTTCGCAAGAAATGCATTGCATATGAGACAAACTTACAGGGAACTTACTGAAACTATTCAATAAAAAAAGATAGCTATATGCTATAAATGTTTTATTTTGAGGTAAAGCTTAATATGTTTACTTTTAACTCAAGAGTTAAGGAGTAATGCCACTGATATAAACCAAATTCAATTTCCTCAAGATGATAACTTTGATATTGTTAGATGGTTAAAATGCTGGTGTTTATTGTTTTTACAAAATTGTTGCTTGACATTGTGTAACATTTTTCTTAAATTATTTTTAGGTCAGCAGATCTTCATTGTTTGATTCAGCAGAGAAGCTTAAAAAAACCGAAGATTCACCTATTGGTAATACAATTTATTCTTTTCTGAAATTGTATTTAAAATAAGCATCAGGTACTCAATATAAATTTCTCATTATTCCACTATATTAGGGTTTTCCTTGTATATTTTCTCTTCAGTCACTTATTCATTATTCCACTTGTAACTATATTGGGGCTATCCTTGTATATTTTCTCTTCAGTCACTTATTCATTATTTCGGGAATGATATGCTGTAATTTTTTTTTTTTTTTTTTTTTTTTTTTTTTTTGTAAAAAGAGTATGAACAAGTTTCAGTATAATTATTTTCAAGCTAGTTGGTGTTGCAAAGGCTTAACTTAAGTCTCTCTATGTATAAGTATTAAATTCCAAAAGCATTGTGTCAAAATTATTTTACTATTAATATATTCTTACAATCAAATACTATTTTTTTATCATTATGAGTTATGTCATGATCATTAATCAAAACTGAATTGAAAACTATCAGTATTCTTTTCATTCGAATTTTCTTTTAGCAAGTGTTATTTTCCGTATAGTGTAAAGGAAGTACTGTGCATGTTGTATTTATTATCTGTTACTTTTCTGTCAGGGTAAGTACTGGTATAAAACAATGAAAATAACTCAGAGTTTATGTGATATTTTATTTATATATTTGAGACTTGAATGAGTAGTTCTTAAAGAACGTTTATCAACAGAAAATGTACAATTTTATTTTAACAATTTTAAGAAAAAAATAAATAGGAAATAAAGGGATTTAATTAATTGAAATAAATGTATTGAATGTCATTATTACATTTTGAAAAGTAAAACAGATCACATGAGCACCTAATCTTAAATGAGTAAAATTTTATTTTCAGTTTTGATTTGTTAAAATATGTTAAAATTTTAATTCTGGTTTTATTACAATGTTAATAAAATTATTTGCTTTCTTTCATCTTATTATTTTTTATTTATAATTTATTTCTTACATATTCTTTCCAGCTGCATCTCCTGAAAAGAAGATGAAAATACACAGACCTCGAGGTAATGTGGAATTGGCAAAGTGTGAATTTTGTGGGAAAATGGGGCCAAAATCCAAATTTAAACGTTCAAAACGCTTTTGCTCTACTTCCTGTGCTAAAAGATACAATGTGTGCTGTTCCAAACGTGTGGGGCTACTGCCTTCAGCCGTTCAAGAAAATGTGGCTGCAGGTAAAATGTTCATTTTACCCATAGCCTTCCTTTTCAAAAATATTGGAGAGCAATTTGGCACATTTTAGTCAAATCCCCACTTTGGTTCAGATCTGAAACATTTCATTTCATTTAATCAGCTGTTAGTTTCAAAATTTAAATTGTATTGTCTTATTGTGGAAATACTAAATTTACAATACTTTATAAATAAAATATTCCGAATAATAACAATTTTTAATGCAAAAGGTTTAAAAATATTTAAAGATTAGATTGTAATTCATTGTACAATCACTAATCTCTTAATAATGCATTGATTGTGTTTTAAAATTATAAGCGTAATAGGCAAAATTTATCACAAAAAATATTCCAGTTTTTTAAAATCATCTTCCTGAGATGATTTGTTTTATTTTGACCCCATTTACCCTTTTTTGAAAATTTGATACAAATTTTCCCTCATTGAAAGTATATGTGAATACATGAGTATCCTGAAGTTATGTTGTAATTCGTTTCCTATATGGGCCATGGAAATATGCAAAGTTTTGCAGCAATGTTAAAATGGGAAAAGTCATGATGAAAATAATTTTTGCAAAAATAAATAAATAAAGATAATATGCATTTGTACTTGATGCAAATTTTTTACCGTTGTTTGTCATATAAAGATTACCACTTGCAAATCTTGATTTTATGGCAGTAAAAAAGGTCTTTGGATACTGTTTTGTTAAGGCTTTGTTTGTCCATGAAGTTTGGACCAACAAACACTTCTTTACCCCCCTTAAAAACTCCTTATAGCAGGTGAGAATATGTTTTATTTCTTTTCTGTTTATTACTTCTTTTTTCTTATCCAAATCAATATTTATGAGGATATTTATTCTTCAATAAAATTTCTCTTGATTTAATTTTGAAAATTTACTTTTTTTTAAAATAAATCTTGTATGATTTTTCAATTTCTTAAAAAAAATCTTGTACTTCTATTGACTAAGAAGATTAGGAGTTATATTATCTCATCCATATCAACTTCCAAATTATTTTTATTTTCCTTAATAACAGCATTGTGAATTAAAAGGAAACTTGAATCAGTTTTCTGTATTGGTTGCAGAATTTGTAATCTCTACCACCCTTTGAAAGCGACTTACCTGTTCTTCCTTCCGAATACACGATGTAAAAAAATTTGCAACATATTTAGTGCTAATAAACCATATGAAACTTTACTCTTACAGTTTGGTTAAGGTGACATAATTTGGGATGTTACTGTATTTTTGCTCATTATTTTTAAATCAAGTATGTTTTATAACTTTAAAAACTGCATACATAATTTCCTTTTTTTTAATATAACTTCACTTTCAAATTTTTGTTGTTATTTTATACTGAAGTAGAAATTGTAGGTGTTTATTAAATTTCACAGCTAGATTTTTTAGATATATCTATCTATATATATATATATATATATATATACAGGGTGTTTATAATTAAAGAACTTTGTTTCAAAGATGCCTACAAGAGAAGTCGGTGATCAGAAAATTATGAAATTTTGTGGCAGACTTAATGAAGGAATGAGACTTTCTTTCAGTGAAAAAATAATTAGTTACAAATAGTGTCACCAGAGGGTGTTTTAATTTGAAAACCTGTAGTAAAAATGCAAATCTTTGTCAACATTAATGCAACAGCTTTTATAAAACCTAGAAACATTCACGGAGACTTCGTTTTGAATGTGCATGTTGTTCACAATGACGATAAGTTTACGAGATCACGCTTTGTTAGTAAAATTAGTCTTAAAATAATAATTCTGCTGTCATTGTTCTACGGAAATTTTGGACTTTGAAAGGGATTCTAAGAGTGCAATGAATGTTAAAAACCTCTGGAAAATAATGAAATTTAAAGAAACAGAATCATTTTTTGTTTTTCCTGGAATAGGAAGAAAACCTATTTCTGAAGAAGCAGTACAGGAGGTTGTGCTTCATGTCCTAGAGGACACAGCTGCAAACTTTCAGGTTAGCAGTGTCCTGAGTACAGCAGAGGTGCTGGATAGACCACATTTAAATGTCCATAAGATCTTGTGGAATATCCTCCGATATTACTCTTACAGACTTGCACTAGTGCAGCGGTTGCTTCTGCATGATTTTGACGCTCGACTCCAGTTCTCAGTTTAGTTTCTTGCTTTGAGGTTGAATCAGAATGACCCCTGGAATAGCCTCTGGATGGATGAAGTGCATTTTCATTTGGACAGTGCAGTTAATACTCACAGCTGCCGAATTTGGAGATTAAAAAAAACCGCACCTAGTCTTAGAATTTTCATTGCCTTCACCAAAAGGGTGTGGGGTGGATTTTATGTATTTTTTTTCTCGGCCCATACTTTTTCAAGGAGTTAAGTTCCACAGGTCCAGTGACATGCTTTATCACCCGGCAGCGATATGCATCCCTGTTAGAGAATAAAATTCCTCCTTCTCTGCAAGCACATCCGTGCCTTGCACAGACAGTCTTACGCAAATTAGAGCTCCTTCACATATTGCACAGTATGTTACAAATGTTCTTGAATGTCATTTTACAAAAGAACGTGTCATTAACCAGAACTTTCATGATATGTGGCCTCCCCAATCCCTAGACCTTAGTCCATGCAATTTTTGGATTTCAAGACGTTTGAAACATCTGGTAAGTTCTGACAATCCAAGAACTTTACGTAACCTTAAAGCCAGCATTTCCTGCCACGTGCTGAACATTTCCCAGCACGCACTTCAGTCAACTGTAGAGCATGCCATCTTGCGATTTCAGGTTGTAGCTGAAAATGATGGCCATTATGTAGAACATTTTTGTAACTAAAATTGTAAAACTATTATAAAGGTGTGCCTAAAAGTATAATTTATTAATATAATGTCTTCTAGTGAATGCTATTTGTAACTAATTTTTTTTCACTGAAAGAAGTGCTCATCTCTCCATTTAGTCCACCACAAAATTTCACTATTTTTTGACCACTTGTAGGCAGCTTTGAAATAGGGTTCTTTATTTATAAACACCCTGTATTTTACTATTTTTTATGAACTAAAATATCACTAATCTGCTAGAACTATTTTTGAGTAGTAATATTGTGCTGCTGCGCTCCATGTTTTTATAAATTATATTTATGAAGGCTTGTTTCACCAAACTGTTATAAAATATGAAATTAATTTTTTATAAGTGTTAAATGTAAAACGAGGGGAAATACGTTTTACTGCTTTTTTATTATTATTTGTTTAAATTTTTTTAAGCTTTTTGTAACAAACTGAAAAAAAATTTTTTACACTAATCTACACTGTTTAATTAAATAACTAATAAAGGCTGTATATTACAGTATAAGACATGCGTTATGAATTTTATTTCAAAATCAGTTTCAACGTCTCCATTTGTAATGTGGATATGAGCCATTTTACCGTAGAATATCCTCCACGAAGGCATCGTTCTTCTTAGGCAGGTAGCCTTCACGTGCTTTGCCATAATCAAACACACCTAACTCAAGGGAACTAGCTAGTTGTATAGGTGGTTTTCATGATCTTCCCTGTATTAATATGAGCGTATTATAGTTGGAAATTTAATCATAATTTCGACTTTGGATCTGCAAAAATTATCCAAAAGGCTTTTTCCATTGGTGAATTGGATTTTCTTGAGGCTTTTCATATTCACAAGGATTTAGCATGTTTAGTGAATGATTTTAATTCCAATCCAGTCCTTTCTAACACCTTTAAAATTCTATTAACATAATTCCTGTTTATTATTTTTGCCAATAGATGGCATTGCCTCTGCATGCATGGTACTACGGGAGGGTATAAAAAATGCCTTTACAGAGGTTGCTTTCCCTTTATTTGAGGTTCAGACTTAGTGTGTAAAGGTGCAGTTGCCCCTCGCTCCCTTTTTTTTTTTTTTTTTTTAGTAGTCTGTGTTATATATTTGATCAGATAGCTTGACTCAGTAAAAGTAGGCGGCCAGTGTAACTCTGATTTGCAATCCGGTTACAACCATGTGCAGTGCTGATAACAACCACATGTTTCTGAGACTCCTTTGCCAATGCTTTATTTTTCTTCTTTTTCCCCTTTCTAGTAATTTTGTTCTCCTGACGAGGAGTGATTTTTAGCTGCCCTCGAAATTGGTTGTTTGAAATATATACGCTAAATATAAGGTTGTTATTGCGATTTTTATTGTCACATTGGCGTGTTTCTCTTCTATTCTATTGTTAATTCTATTTATATTGCATTTTTGTTTATGCAAAAAATAGTTCTCAGTGCATGCAAGATGCTTCTTATAGCCATTTCATTTGATTTTCTTCATTGCACTTATTCTGACTGCCATTAGAGTTTCCTAAACATAAAAAATGTATCTCATAAGCTATTTAAAAAAATGCAGATTTAAATAAAATACTTTATGCTTTAAAAATTTTTTTCTGATAATACTGACTGAAAACAAGAGTATTATTACAAGAGATAAGAAAAACACATTTAATTTAACAATGACCAATAGGCAACATTGGTGTATCTAACTTTCTAAAGAAAATTGTGTTTTGTATGTTGTTCTGTAATGAAAAAGATCCAGATGATGGCCCTGATGTGTAGTAATCCTTAATTAGAATGCAGATGTCAGTTTCTTGCGTTTAATGTTTCTCTTGAGAGCATGCTTTAAGTATAGCATATCCTCCATGATCCTTTTCATTTGACCATTTCATATGCTAGTGATACATTTGACTTTATGTTGCAACAGTAAATGAGATTTGTTGGACCTATAACCTTTTCTAATCATTAAGGTTGTATTTTTTATACTCGTATGTCCATAGCTAAGTGCTCCCAGTATGGCACTGAGATCAGCTAAGTAATCACAGCAATCTGCAGCTTATGCAGTATCATTTTAGGGGTTTCTATTCTTGTGACGTGAAACTGACATTACCAGGATAAAACTGTTGTTCAGTTGGTTGCCATGTGGTATCCTATTTTATCTGTACCGTACGGAGTATCGTTGCTTACCTTTAGCGCCTTGCCATTTGGGAAATATTGTTATTTAGTTGT